AGATGAGGAGGGGTTCACCACTCTGTGAAAGACTGTACAAGCAAATTCAAGAATGATGTTCTCAATGTTAAATAGCAAAGAACTTTTGCTTCTCATCATCTACGATATGTAAAATTATTAAAAGGTAATTATTATCTGGAGAAATCTCTGTATGTAAGGAACAAGGCCAAAAACCAGTACTGGCTTGCTATGATCTTTGGGCCCTCAGGCAGCACTGCATTAAAAACAGACATGATTCTGTAGTGGAAATCACTGCATGTGCTCAGAAACACTTCTGAAAAACACTGTCTGTGAAAATCGTTCATCACTGCATCAACAAATGCAAGTTAAAACTTTAAAACGCAAAGAAAAAATCATATATAAACAAAATCCAGAAATGCTGCCACCTTCTCTGGGCCTGAGCTCATTTAAATGGACTAAGGGGAAGTGGAAAAGTGTCCTGTGGTCCAACAAATCAACGAGTGAAATTTGGAACTTTTTTTGGAAATCATGGACACTGTGTCCTCCGGGCTAAAGACCATCCAACTTTTTATCAGTGCACAGTTCAAAAGCCAGTATTCATGGTGGTATGAGGGGGCATTAGTGCACATGGCATGGTTGACTTGTACAACTGTGAAGGCACCATTAATGCTGAATGATATATACATGTTTTAGAGCAACATATGCTGCCATACAGACAACGTCTTTTTCAGGGAAGCCTTGCTTATTTCAGCAAGACAACGTCAAACCACATTCTACATGTACACATGAGAATGTGTGTGTATACAAAGAGTGAGAGAGAAAGAGATAAAGAAAGTGGTTGGGGTGTCTTTCCCAACTAACAGACTTGGTAAAAGCAGTTATACCTTTATGCAAATTATATGTAAATATGACATATTCTGCACTTGCTGAGTCATCAATACAAATCAAAACTATTATAATGCAGACTTGGATGAGCTCAGAAGCAAAACTGAACATAGTGTCATTGGTGAGATTCGGTCAAACAATACATTGTCCTTCTTAATGCAGTCAGCAAGAGTCACTCAGTCAGGCCAAAAGACTTTTTTCATACTTTACTAATTTGTTAAAATGAATGATACAAGTCTAGTAACTCATACTATTTCTTGTATAATCCTTAGTTTCTAAGGTAAATCTAGTTAAGATCAGTTAATTTGTCCTACAGACTGAAAAGTCTTGTGCCCAAGAAGTTTCTCAGCATTCAAGTTTCATTGGTTTCTGTTAATTACCTCTTATTTTTGTCATTTACAATCACAGTTTTCTTTGCAAAATGTGATTTTTTTTTGGTACCATGGCATACTCTTATGTCTGGATGATGTTTTGTGTTCAGGTTTACCAGTTCAGCCTAGTTCAGCTTATCACCATGAATACTAACACAATGGCAAATATGCATTAAGCTATTAGAGTCCTCAGCAATGGGTGACTCTATGCTGTTAACATGATAACCACCAGAGTCTAATCATTTATGAAGTCCATGTAAACACATTCACTGTGTCATCACATTCCCAAGGACTATAATCAGTGTCATTACTGTCAACAGTACAAGCTGGCAATAGATCATTGAGTATTCCCTATCACTGCTGTCAACATGAGGAGCAGCTGACTTTCATCTATAGTTTAAGGTTGATCACACAGAAATATTGACATTGAAATTTGACCAAAATGATAATTCTGATAAAAAAAAACAATGGATAAGACATACAGACGTGCACAGCAGTCGTTACATTGACTCATATGACTCATCACATTGTGCTGCTAATATGATTACGGTTTTATAATTTGCTCTGGTGTGGCTGATAAGGCATGGTGTGAGAAAGAAATGTGTCTCACAGGCATATTTTCCTCATATTTTCCTCTATTGTCATAAAAGATGATTTTATAACCTTTATGAAAGTTGGCAACGTCCACTTCTAGGAGCTGATTTCCCTGTTAGATAGCGCTGTTAAATGATTTGCTTTGTTGACAATCAAAAGACGGATTATTCATTCTCCTTTCCAACGTCAGGTTGTTAAGCAAACATGCCTTTCGGTAGTTAAGGAAACAGACTATTACATACCAGGACATGTAAAAGAATGTGGGAATTCCTGGTGCTTGAATCATTGTTACTATAGCTATGTATTGTTTTGGAAGATTTGCATTTCACTCAGCTATTTTTAGAAATGAATATTTGTGAATGAATACTTTCAAAGTACTCGTTATAAATCTCAAAGCTCTTGCCGAGTTGAACAGCTGTCCATCCTGTGTGGTCTGATGCTGTTGCTAATTCTGCCTTGATCGGGTGCCCACTGCTCACCAGCCTTCTGGACCGGTTTAACCACCTTCACGCTGTACAATCCTGCGCAAACCTCACCCTCATGAACTGACCCTCCTGATGCTGCTGCTGCTGCATAAACTCAAACTCTCTAAATAACCATTGCTCCACCTGTTTTTCCCCGTTTTTGTATTCTAATATTTTACACTAACGCTGTTGAGTCTTGGTTCCTCTCAGTGTTTCTTCCTCTTGCTCTTAGGGAGTTTTTCCTTGCCACTGTCGCCACTGGTGACGTTCATGGGGGCTCGGACCTGGGTTTTTCTGTAAAGCCTCTTTGTGACACACCTGTTTTAAAAAGCGCTACATAAATAAACTTTGACTTGACTTGACTCCCCATAGCAACTACCAGCAAGCATGATGTTAGCACACATCACTGTAATGTTGGCCTCACTGCTGGCAGTGATACACAATCAAGTCACAGTATTATGACCACCATGTGCAGCACGGACAGCAGCTGGACGGGCTGGGAGTGACTCAATACCTTCCTGGTAGGTTGTCACAGGGATCTGGACCCAGGCTGACTGCAGTGCATCCCACAGCTGCTGGAGGGGGCGTAGGGGAGGATCCATAGAGCGAACACAATGATCGAGGTGGTCCCACAGACGTTCAATTGGGTTTAAGTCTGGGGAATTAGGGGGCCAGGGTAGTACTCGGAAGTCTTGCTCATGCTCTTCCAACCAATGTCGGACATGTTTAGCCATGTCACATGTCGCACTGTCTTGCTGGAAGAGCCCATCGATGTATGGGTGTTCATGATCTGCAGGGATGGATTCATACCCAAATAGGCTGAGAGCGCTTTCCACATGGATGAGTGAGCCCAGAGAAAGCCACGAAAACATTCCCCAGACCATAACGCTGCCACCATCAGCTTGTGGATATGAAGTGGTCATAATAATGTAACTCAACTGTGTATATCACTATGTTATGTTATGCTTTGCAGTTCTCCTCCTGGATATGCAGCAGGCAGTGTCCTACCATTTGTACCTTACATTTCATGACTTATTATGATAATCCACAAAGAATATCCTCCAAATTCGCTCACTGAGTAACACTTCTTATCATACCTGTTTTCCATAGATTAGCATTCTCTACAGCAGGCAGGGTTGCCAAGTCCAGCCAAAATCTAAACACTTTTAAGAATAACCAATGAAAGGTGGAAGCATGTGGCCTTCTAGCGGTGTGCACTTGCTCCATCCTCCATAAAGATCTCCCTTAATATGAAAATCTAAAATATGAATGGAAATAAGACACGGATGATAATAATAATTATAATAATAAACGTGATAATAATAATCTCAAGTGATATCTCATTAATCTGAAGGGGGGGGGCATGGTTGTTTTGCAAGGGTAACATTTTTTTTTTGGCCTGGGATGGGTGGCATCCCTTCGCACCCCCCAACCACCCCAAAAACGATCTCTGATCATGAACCTGGTGGAAGGCGTCATCGCCATCATCTATCTGTCTTGGGGGTCTTCAAATCCCTGCTGAAAAGACCAGCACAGACTTGCATGAATTTCACACTGGTTGAAACTGGTTGTTTGCTGGTCTGGTGCTGGTTTAGCTGGGCACCCAGCATGGTCACTCTGGTTGACCAGCATACCAGCATCCGGAACCCAACATTCTGGTTTGTATAGCAGGGCTGAACATCGTGAGGAGAAAGAACGTGGATTATAATTCAAGAATGACTGCAAGAAAACAAGAGAAACACCTAATGGTTTCTATGGGTTTTTCAGCAGGGGTAGCATTGAAACGTCAAACTACCTTGACTTTAATAAACAAACGCAGGATGATTAGTTTTTAAGGCGTTTGAGTTTCTCTGCAACTCCCTCCACTTCTTCCTTTCTTCTTTCTAAAAAAAGCTCGTGTTGCTTTTTATCACACTCTTCAGAACTGCGTCACATGGTGGGCGGGGCCAAGCGATTCCCGCCGTGTAGACCGAGACTCTGGTTCAGAAGTGGTGAATCAGCTGAGCGCAGTAGAAGCAGCTGTGGAACAACAGACGCTGAGCTGTATATCGTACAGTGTCCCAGCGCGCTTATGATCGCTTTCCTGTTGTACAGCCTCGAGTCTGTTCAGCAAAGCTCAGTATGCGCTGAACGCCTCTCCGCTGAGCTGGACACGGAGCAGCCTGGAGAGTTAGCCCCGCCCCGCTCCCCGCCTCGCTCCCCGCCCCGCTGCTGCTGCTGCTGAGGAGACAGAGGGAGGAGGAGAGCATCCCAGCAGCGCGTGGGCATGTGCGTGTGAGCGTGTGTGAGCTCGATCGATGCGCTTTTCCTGCGTCCGGTCCTGGACTGGTCACACAGCGATTGTTACCAGGCCATTCCTCACTGGTTCGTCACTGATTATGCATTAGTTTTCTGACGAACAGTCTGAGGGTGTAAATGATCAGCCTCTGTGATCTGTACACATAAATCAATAATCATGGCACCTTTGGTTCCATACCCTGCCTTCAGTCTACTGTCTCCATGGGGACATGTTGACGCCCCCTTTTGATGCCCCCTTTGATGCCCTGCTCCTGACTGGACTCAATTTAAGGTCGTCCTGAGCTCAGCTGAAGAGCGTGAGAGTGGGCGCAGGACGGGGCCACCTTAAATTGGCCGTGTTAGCTAATGATCACCTCATAGCCCCACGGTGGCGAGGAGGCGGAGTCAGTCCTTATTTATAGCTAAATCCCGCGCGTTTTTGCTCAGATGTTCAGACAGCTGTGCGTCATGGCTCGCTGTGCTCTGTGCTTCAGTAAGTGGGCATCATCTCACTTCTCATCTCAGCTCCTCAGCTTTGTTTACTCTGACTGTAAATGAGTGTCTTATCTCTTCTCTTCATTCTCAAGATATATGAGTTTTTCTTCTTTTTCTCCTTTATAGTTCTGCTGGGCTTGTGCGTGACCTCCTCCGCTCAAGGTAAGTGTGTGGTTTGCACAGGCTCTGTGTGCGTGTGATGTGTTTTAGTAATTAGTAGTATATATAGTTTTGTAAGTATATATACATATATATATATATATATATATATATATATATGCATGTGTGTATGTATGTATGTGTGTGTACATGTGCCTTGTTTATAATATATATACATTTATATGTAATATGCATATAATAATAAATATCTATAATAAATAATATATATATATATATATATATATATATATATAATAAATATGTATAAATAAATATATATATATACCTCGTTTTTCAGTTTTTGACATAATTTTAAAATGCATATTACCCTTTATATTGTAGCTAAATTTCATGATGAATGGATCAAAAAAAATATGAAAAAGTCTGGTTCCATTGACTTACATTAAAAGCAAAGTAGTTTTTTTCCTTCTCCTGTAAAGTTACCATTTTGCCATTATATATATATATATATATATATATATATATATATATATATATTATGTATAAAGCATATACAAAAACCTTGTATCTCCATTTTTGTCTTTTTATCCTTTAAATTGTGTCAGAATTTATGATGAAGCCCCAGAAATAATCTAAAATTTCCTGTCCTTTCTCCTGTTAAGTAACTTAACAGTTACAATTTGAAGATATGAGGTTTTGTTCCAGCAGTGAGAATAAGCTTCTCTCTGTATATATGCAATATGCAACCCACTACATTAATATTTAAGTGATTCAGTAGTCTATTTATTATGATATTGTATCATCAGTCACTCAGTGATTGCTGCATCGGCATTGCTGCATTATAGCACAAAAAGAAACTGTTTTGCTGTAGAGCTCCATCTGCTGGAAAAAAAATCTTGCTAAGTCAGGATTCAGTGGTAAATGATTTCATATTTCATGCTTTCACTTCAGATGTTGTAGTAAACAGCATGCAGCTGTGGTGTGAGCCAGGCTCCAGGTTATTGCAGGCAGTCTTTAATTACACAGCAAGACAACTGGAACCCTGTCATGAAATGAGCCTAACTGACTTGGTTATCTCAGGATCACTGTGCTAATGGACTTTTTCCTCTTGTTTCTTTGCAGCTGTTTGCAACAGTGATGAGGAATCCAGGTAAATGTTCTTTCTTCTTCCAGAACAGCTCTAGATGCTCTCCAAGCTACAGAGATGAATGTCATGTGTCAGTTGTGTGTATAAAGCCAGATAGATGGGTGTAAAAGAGTTCTCTCTTTTTTCATAGCAATCAATGTGGAAACCTGTTATATGATGTTAAGAAGTACACCTGTTGTGACAGGAATTTAACAAAAGGTGCTCACCTGTCCTGCTGTGGAACCACTGCCTACAACAAACTGGAGAGTTCGTGCTGCAACAGTAAGTAGCTGCTTCTTTTTTCCTGATAGAGGGATTTCCCAATACTATCTCCACACATATTGCATCAGATGTTTGGAATCAGCCCCGAGGCTGAATAGTGAAAACACTGAAATAATAATTTAGGCAGCAGAATATCTGGGCGACTGTTAACTGTCAGGGGGATGTGATTCTTTATCTAATTATTTATTTGTAATTGAGAGCTCTGTGGAATTTATATGAAATCGGCTGATCCAGACCAGTTTTATAGTCACTGCTGGCTGTCTGCCTAAATAACTGTAAGCCTTTCACTTTTATTTTATTAGGAAACATGCCTGTGGTTGATATGTGGTTGATCCAAGTGACATGTAATGCTGCTGTTGTGACATGTTCTGAGGTGTTTTGTTAATGTTGTTGGGGCACAAGTTCATCTGGTAGATCAAATGAGATTGTTTTAAAGGGAAGTTTTTGTATATCCTTCAAAGAAAGCAGCCAACTGTCCGGGCTTCCCCACATGGCAGTGTAATTGCAATGGATGTTCTGACAAAAATACAGTTTATAGTCTAATTAGTGGACAATCACTTGGGCTTTTCCCTGACCGAGGGCGAGCCTTATGTCACCACTACAGGGAAGTTAATGAAAACACATTGTTTTCTAAGTGAACTGGAGTGAAATGGAGATAAACGTGTTTGTCCTGTCAGTGATGATTTGCTAGTGTGTTAAACATAACTCATCTCAAAGGAGAAAATGGATAGTTTACTGTCAATGAGGCTGATGGTCTAATTGTGGGTGAGGTGGGTGGAAGAGAAAGCCTGGTGGACTCTAAAAGGTGCCAAAAAGCGTTCTTTGGAACGATGCCATAGAACAGAGGTCTTCAAATCAGCACCTCAAATCGAGCTTAGATCTTGTAATCACTGCCAATTAACCGAACTGTTTGTTTAACTAAAGAGGGCTCAAGTCCACAACATCTGGGGCTGGTTTGAGTAGGAAAACTACCCAACTCTGTCGGACTGTTCTGGACTGGTGTCCACTCGAGTTAAATAAACAGTCTGCAAACAGTCTGGACGGCTTCTTTAAAGAACTATTCGCGGAAAAAATTGTTAAGAGACCAAAAAAGGTTCTTCTATGCTCCCCAAGCCGATTATATTTTTGGGAGAATATTTTCACACTGAAAAATGGATGTATTATGATCTATTCAGCAATGGGAATTGTTGTAATAACTGTGCTTGCCTGACTGTCCTCTGAGAAAGTAGTTTAAACCTTAGATGGTATTAAGGGGCTGTTCATTCCTGTCAATAACGTCTCGGGGGATCTGATCATAAGTAGACAGTAAGTGTACAGAAAACGAGGAAAGTCTTGTGTTTTTCCTGTTTCTCCAAGAAGTTATACACTCGTTACTATTTTTGAATATCAGAATGTTGTGGAGTTGAGATTTTCAAACTTGCCTATTATCCCATTATTATCCCATTATTACTTACTTTTTTGCTTGTAAATCAGCTGTCAGCATCCGCACAGCGAATGTTATGTGAACACGTATGCCCCTGACCACCTCTGAAGGTGTTTGAGTGATGGTTTAAATGCACTGGACCCCAGTCAGACTGAAGTCAGCACTGGTTACATATGAATGGACCACCCAGCAAATACATATGTTGATGCTAGGTTTGAATGGGACCTATGAGTGCTGTTTTTTATGGGATGCATCCCAAAGTCTGCCGATTCACGTTTGCAGCGCCCCCCCCTAGGGCTATTATTTTGTATCTAGTGGCTCCGGAGCCAAATGCAGCTCTTTTACTGCCCTGTTGCGGCTCCACACAATGTAGGTAATAATCAAATAATCCTCCTTTACAGTAAAAAAAAAGCTCTGCTGATTGTTCAACACAGTTTTAACAATAAATGGTCTTAAAGGCTGGAGTTAATGTAGAACTGCTAATTCACCCTTTAACCCTGAAAGTTGGCACTAAGACTGCTGGCCACACAGCAATGCAGACAACAATCTTGCCTAGCTAGTAGCTAATGAATTAGCAAAGAAAAAGATTTAAGACCAACAGTGATAATTTGGAGAAAAAAGGACTTATTTGCATTTTTAATCACTCCAGCTGGTTTCCTGATACGTTTAATCTGCAACAAGAAACTGTTAAACACTAAAAAGTCAGTTTCTCATTCACCAGCTTCTTGTTCTTATCTTCCCGTTCCACCGTAAATGGGGCAGCAGTTACATACATACATTTAAGGTGGAGCGGGAAAATGTGAACAAGAAGCTGCGAATGAGAAGCGACTTCAGCCTCGTAAAAGAGACATTTTACAAAAACTCTGTTCTACTTTGGTGGAAAAGTTTCCTGCTAGAGATGCACGAAAAGCGGCTGTAGCTGAGCTAAAGCTTAAAGCAGAGCAAAGTAAGTCTGCATTTTTGGTTATATTATTTTTTTAGCCTATACCAGGACATCAGCACATACTGAGACAGATTTACAGCCAAGACGGTAAAATGGACATAAAATGTCGCAACTCCCAAGGTGGAAGTTAACATGGGGTTGCCGACCCCTGGGCTAGTGTGTGAACATATTAGCTAATAGCGGGAGCGTTGTTGTGACACTGTAAAGGTATGAGTGTAATGTTCCACAAAATGAATATTCGTTTTCATATGATACAGTGGGGTCTCGATTCAATACAGCCGGAATCAGGAAGAACTAAAAATATGCCGAATGTTAACGTGTTAATGTTTACATTTTCTTTTCGATAGAGCATTCAGCCTTATAAATACACAATATTTGAAACAAGAATTATCCTGCAGTATCCCAAACTAATATGTTAGCCCAATTTGTGGAATCAGTCTTGCTTTATCAAAGCATCAACTCCTCCAGACATGCTTTGCAGAATGTGCAGGAAACTGCAGAAGACAATTGTGCCAAATGTGCTCAGACCACTGTCTGTTTGAAATTAACTGGAACTGGAACCTAGACAAACTCAGAAACCATAGAGTAAACTGTCTCCACTAAACACATGGCTGAGTGAGATGTTGAGAACGTGCGCAGTCTGAGTCTGGTCTGTCTGTGCCACAGTCTGAAAAACTAATGAGAGTCAAATGTAGGGGAGCACTGTATAAGCAGCCTTCAGAAAAATCTTACTGAACAAAGTGATGCATTGGGGTCACAAGATTCAGCCTATGTATTGGCAATGTGTTGATATTAATGCCTTTGTGAGTATACAGTGACGTGGAAAAGTATTCACCCCCTTATTTCTTCTATTTTTGCATATTTCTCACTCTTGGTTTGACCCTTTGGCCCTTTGTGGAAAAGTAACTGCTCCCCTTAGTTACTTAATTAACTAAAATTAGTTGATCGTTTGGTTTAGTGAAACTAGACACACCCAGGCTTGATTACTGACAACCCTGCTGAATCTAAAGGTCACTTCAAAAGAACAATGTGAAGTAGGTCAAGAGGCCTCAGCAAGTACCACTATGCCACAATCAAAAGAATTTCTGGAGAAGATGAAAAAGAATTTAATGATTTATGTCAGTGTGGAAACAGCCGCATAGCCATTTCTAAAACCACAATAAGAAGCTTTATCTCCAAACAATGTTGGATCTTACCAGGATTTTCCAGTCTCCCACAGTTCACCCAAGAGCACAATGACCACTCATGGCAAAAAAGCGAGGACTTGACATGATTAAGGTCAGAGTTCATGATGTCAGTCTGGGCCAAAAATATCCATGGAACATTGCAAGGCAAAAAACTCATGAAAGCCGGTTTTCCTTTAGGCAAAAAAGAAACTGAAGATGCCCACATATTGTTCACTAATATTTTGTGGGCTGATGAGTTAAAAGTAGAACTGTTTGGGAGACTGTAATGTCTGGTGTAAAGCTATCACAGCATTAGACAATAAGAACACCAAACCAACAGTGAAACATGGTGGTGGTAGTGTGATGGTGTGTAGATGCATTGCTGACTCAGGGCCTCAGCTTAAGTGCAGTAAGGGTTATTTCTCTTGGTGCAGGTTTCAACCTAAAATTAAATAAAAAAAATATAGAAAAAGATATTATATATATAATATATATTTATATATGTATTTTATTATATATATATATATATATATATTAGGGGTGGGAATCTCTAGGCACCTCACGATTCGATTACGATTCAGAGGCTGTGATGCGATTATAAAACGATTATCGATGCATCTCGATGCATCTTTTTTTTCTATACAGCATTTCTATTTTCTCACTGTGTGAGCTCAACTTTCGAGTTCAAGTTTCAAGTTTATTTGTCATTTGCACAATATGTCAGGACATTTATGCATTGAAATGCATGTGGTGAGGCTCAGCTAATCACTCTACAGAAAGTAAATAAGTAAAAATAAAAATACAAAACTAACTGACATATATTAAATATACACAAAATATACACAAAATATAGAGACAATACACATTTTAAAGTGACTAAGTGACTCGGTGTTGTTATTTAAAGTGACTTGGTACTTTTAAACCAAAGTATTTGTAATGATCAATAATGAATTTACTTCCAATATCTCTTATTAATAAATCAAATGGAAGTGATGTGGCAAGTGAACAGTCAGTAAAGTATCTTTGAGACGGGACGTGTGCAACATAGTGCGAAAGCCCTGTTTCGCAACGACTGAGAACCGGCGTGCAGACTGCAGGTCACATAGCAGCGATACGTTATTTGCATTTATAAGCAGCGCAGTTGGTTTCCTGGTACGTTAAATCTGCAACGAGAGACTGTCTCTCTCTAAAAAGTTGCGAAGATGAAGTCGGTTCTCTTTCAAATTTTCCACCTTAAATGTTGTCGCATTTACATTCGGCGCCTCAGTCAGAATTTAAGGTGGAACGGGAAAATTCGAACAAGAAGCTGGAGAATGAGAAGCGACTTTCAGCCTCGGAAAACAGTCGAACGCTGAGAGACATTTTACAATAAGCTGCTCTAGTTTTGAATAAAAGTTTTCTGGCGGAGACGGGAGGAAAGCGGCTGTAGGCGAAGCTTAAAGCAGAGCAGAGTAAATCTGCGCTCTCGTTTATATTGTTTAGCCTATACTAGGACATTATCACATACTGAGACAAACTGGACATTAAATGTTGTGGCTCCCATTTGTGTTGTGACTCCTGACCTAACCTGGCTTTAATGCAGAGGGAGCCGGTCGGATTTCTCACTCTTCCACTTGTGTTTTTGTTATGTGCCGCCACAGACTGTCCAGGCGCTGCACTTCCGCACTCTCAAGTTCTGCCTTTTGCATTCCGTCAACATTACATTAGAAATTAAATATTTAGAAAATCGATTTTTGACATTTGTTAATCGATTCAGAATCGTTCACGTCCGCATCGCGATGCATCTAAGAATCAATTTTTTCCCGCACCTCTAAAATATATATATATGTATGTTGTGTCTGCTGTGTCTGATCCACTCAGACCAGCGCAACACACACTAACACACCACCACCACGTCAGTGTTACTGCAGTGCTGAGAATGACCCACCACCCAAATAGTACCTGCTCTGTGAGGGTCCATGGGGGTCCTGACCACTGAAGAACAGGGTAAAAGGGGGCTAACAAAGTATGCAGAGAAACAGATGGACTACAGTCTGTAACTGTAGAACTACAAAGTGCACCTATATAGTAAGTGGAGCTGATAAAATGGACAATGAGCATAGAAACAAGGAGGTGGTCACAATGTTATGCAACAAGTTGAGGAAAGTTGGAGAGGGTCTTATTCAGAAGGATCATGGCAAGGCATAGACAGTAGTTATGTGCATTACAATGTGCACGTGCGTCTATTTAATGAATAGGGATGTGAGAGGGATCCTTTTTTAGAAAGATGATGGCCAGGGAAAAGATGTGGAGGTGGTGGTTCTTCCGACTCTTGATGGCTTTCAAGTGGTTTTCCCCTGCGTATGCATCGGCACTTTTATAAGCCTCTTCCTTGGCTGTGTGCAATTTCCTGAGCTCATTAAGGAACCAGGGTTTGTTATTGTTATACAGATATGATCTTTGATGGGAACTCTCTTCAAGGAAGCTTATGTAAGATGTAAGGTAAATGCGTCTACTTAGTTATTCAGGTTGTTACTCGCAGATTTGAAGAAGTTCCAGTCCAGACATTCCCTTAAATCCTCTGTGGCATCATGAGGCCACATTCTCATTCATTTGACCCCAAGCTTTGTGGTTTTAGGCTTTAACCCATATGAGAGGATGAGAAGCAGAAGCAGAAGCAGACTGCCTTCACATCAATCTCCCGAACAGATACTCCAAACAATTTCCGTGGGAATACATGCAAAGTCCAGAAAATTCTTTCACAGTGCTAAATTTACATACAATGGCCCTTATTCATCAATATGGCCAAATCTGATCGTAAAATTAGTGCACTGACCATTACGTGATTCTTCAGTTACATCTTTGGCGTATCTGTATGATCGAATTCACGTCTAGTAAGCGTGCATGTAAATTTGAGCATAAATGTCCTGAAAAAAAGGCTTGATTTGTGATTAACTAACCAAAACTATTATCAATATAATCTCTAATACCAATAATAAAAAATAATAATAACAGGAATACTAATAATTTATGCACATGGCAATTCAGTACAAAAATAGATGTGCTTATTTTACACGAACATTGATATAAACAGATATTTCACAGTCCATTTACAGGCATTACACTGTGCTCTTATTTTGTACTACTGACGCTGCGTGAAAAAAAAAAAAACACAGCTTGCGCAGAAGTCTGTCACTATAATAATACAGTGTTTAAATCTGTTATTTTAGGAAAATTTGATTCTTTCCAGTGGTCGTAATTTTAAAAGTTTGGTCAGTAGTGGGAGCAGCGGGGGGTCGAGCACTGCTTGACCTCAAACTCTGCCTACCAGCACACTCACAAGCTGTTGTTTTATTGGCTCCCTCTTCTGAATTAGGGTGCTCTTCATGTAAATTATATGTAAATGAGGTACAGGTAGGCGGAGTCTTGATGGAATTTGCGCTCAATTGCCTGCTGGTTTCCACGTCGTATGAAGGTTTCGTGAATCAGAGGCAGAGTAGTTTGTACATCATCAAAGTTGGTAATATCTGTGCTCTTTTGCTGATTAAGGGCTATTGCTTTAATCACGAATGTTCACTGATTGATTCATCAAGATAGCTGGTAACTGCTAGTCAGCTAACTGATCTTAACATTGTTCTGCAAAGTTGTTTATCAGTAAACCTTACATTAAACTTATTTTTTAGCAAACTGAGTAACCCAGAATAGTTTTGACATTAAGCTGTGAGTTTCATCTCTTAAGTAGATTAATCGAAAAGTTTCTCAGCTTCAGGAATGAAGTAGAACCACCACCACCTGCCAGATGATCAGGATAGTGTGTGTCAAGCACTGTACATTCCTCTATTCTGACTAATTTACTGCCACCGCCGTTCTTACTGCAGGTTCGTTTTGAGGAGTTCTGAGCTTTTCCTTTGCCTCACAGAGGAGGCAGCGCTTAGACACGGCTGACAATGATATTAACGACCAGGGATACCCAGTCAGACTCGGGATTTGAACACACAACCTTCTGGTTATTGGCTTATCTTTCCTACCACTGCGCTCCTTCTTTGTCTGTCTCTCTATAAGAGATAATAGAGTGATACAAATTGTATTCAGTTCAGGGTTTCACATCCTTCACTGCCAGTTAAACAGGCTTAATTATGCTCTCTTTGCAATGAGTTCTTTAAGCAAAGGTGATATCCACTATATGCACAGAACAGCATATTGTTTATCACAAAAAAATGATATTGTCCACCTCTACCAAGGGTACAACCAGGAAAACCCTGACAATCCTGGGATTTGAACCCCCAACCTTTTGGTTGCTGGCTCACCTGTCCTAACACTCGGCTACTAGGCTATAAAGAGTTCACACTCAGCACGTATACAAGCAATCATTAATCCGATCATAATTGGACTTCTGCAGTTATCAGATTATTCGAATGGTCATGTAAACACCATACTCCAATCTAGAAATCCAATTAAGAAATCCGATAAAGAGGCTGGATTTTAGCTCAGTAATCAGATTTCTCAGTGCATGTAAACTCGTATTCCGATTTCTATCGGATTTCTAAGTCTGAGCATGTGCAAGATCAGACGGTGGATGTCGCGAGACACAGCAAAACACTGCTTTTGGAGCGGCACTGAAACCAAACACGAAATAAACGATTTAAATTTTCCTTATCTTCCAGATAATGTATGTTCATATTTTCAGGTAAAGTGGCGTGATGTTTAAAAAAAAGCCACGGTATGAAGTTTGAGTTTTACGTTACGTTTACGTCACGTCTTCTGTGAGTCTATTGGCTGGTTGCAAAGCAGAAATCCGATTATTGATTACTGCCTCATGTAGACCCAGAGTTTCCCCATTATCAGAATACTCAAGTGTATGTGAACATCTTGACAAAATCCGATTTTCTGCAGTTATCGGATTATTGAGTGCATGTAAACGCACTCACTGTTATACAATCAGGTCAACTCAAATGTCCTACTCTGAGCAATCCTTCTGTTACACGCTTCACATCAAGGCTCTTCTGTCGCAGATTAAGAAGGCAGAGCAGATTAGAACATGAAGAAGTGCTTGCATCACTCGTGGCAGACTGCCAATGTGGCTGAGTCAGCAGCGGATGCTGACTCTGTTTTATCCGGCCAGGAATTTGCGCAACTCCAGTATGACCAGATGCCAGTTTAGCCCGAAGGGAATATGTGTCCAGGCCCACACATGCTTTACCCTGTGCTTAACATTAGGGAAGGAAGGATATGGAATAAGTGCCCAATTGTTAAACAATTGCTTAGCGTCACTGCAACTAGTAAGTTAGGATCCTTGATGTTTAACTTAATCTTGACATACAGCACTATTATTATTATTTTATTTATTTTTTTACTTCTTTGATTCCTGTCTTAGTTCTGCATCTAAAACCCTTTTTTCTTTCGATGATTATCTTGCAGATGTCGTCACAGCTGGATTGAGTCAAACCGTTTCATATTGCTGCGGACGGGAGGCTTACAACCCCATCAATCAGATCTGCTGCAATGGAAGTATCCGGAACAAAGGTTCTGCTCACACAGAATGCTGTGGCTCAGGTAGGCTAAGTGCCAAAGCAGATCCTATTCAAGACATGAATAAGTGGTTCTCAGACCAGCCTTTAGGGCCCCTTCAGTGTATTCAAGCTCCTGATACATGGTTAGAACCAAAACGTGGACCGCCTGGAAAAGATTGTGCATTACAGTGATTTTACCACGAGTAGGGCACATGGCTTGAAGTAGGAGTGGGGAGTGGACACTTGAAGACATTTTCATGATACATGGTATGTGTTACAGAGTTGATGGAAAGGATCTGAAAAAAGCTCCTGTAGTGTCCCATTTAAAAATATGATCATTTTTATTCAACATTTGGCTAAATGTGCTTCACTATATACAGTTAAACGACACTAATTATGCTCTCTTCAATGAAACACGCAATTAGCCAATGTTCTTCAAGCACTGACAGTATCCACGATAAGCTGAGAAGAGCATTCTGTGATGTAATTTATCACAATGACAATAAACCATCATCATATTGCCGACCCCTAACTCACACTGCCATGGTTGATTACAAATCTATGTATCCAGACCGAACATTTAGCATCAGGCTAGCATCCCAGATAGCAAACTTTGTTGATCTGATGTTGAACAACACAGTGGAAATAACATAGATCTGCTTCAGTGCTGGAAAATCAACCATGTTGAATGCTGATCCAGCACTGACTCAGCAGCACCCGCTGATGGTTGAACAGATGTTGATATAATGTCTGTACTGGTGTCGATTTAATGTTGAAACAGTGTTGTACTCTGTGATTGTGCAGTGCTGATTTGGCTTTGAAAGCATAGTAAACTCAAGCCCAAATTCTACAACTTTTATCACCACAAGTTTCTAGAATTTGTGCTTGAAAACAAGAGCAAGATCTATCAAATTCAACATCAGAGTTGAGTCAGCGGTGTTGCCCAACATCAGATCGACATTGTTTCAGTCCGATCTTTTTCTATAAAGGACACTAGTGAAAAATAATACAAATGAGAAGTAATTATAAATAAACCGAGTAGCTCTGACCCTAAGTGCTAGAATAGCTGCTTCAAATAGCTGTAGCTATGCCATCAAAGACCACTGCAGTAAGAAGCATCCATTAAATAAAGCCAAGAAAGGCGGCCTATTTTCTGACAGTTTTCTAGGACTCTACCAGAGGTCATCTGTCACCCATAATCCTTTGTGCTCCTGTCTGACCGTAAGAAAGTCGTTTAAAAAGTCCAGTACCTTATTTATCTAGTTGTGTACCTACTTAAGAGGGTGTAAATTGAAAACATGATGCAAAATGAACCTGCTTTCAGTGAAATGAACAGGATTGCAATTAACTATAGAGAAAAATGGTTTGCCAGCTTACTATCATTCACATCAACAGGACTTTCTCCGTCAAATTTTCCACTGACGTGAAAAATCAGTTTTGGTAGACTTCCATTTTGCAGCCTAGCATTAAAATGCTCTTAAAATGTTGTTTGGGTACATGCTCCATTTATTTTAAGAAGTGAGTGTAGGAATTGAACAACCATGTGAGCGAGACCCTTCCTCTGCCGGACTTTAGATTTGATCTAATCAAGCCTCAAAATAGCCTAAAAAGCTTATCGACCACAACCCAATCCACAGAGCAGAACATCCAAATGAAGCATATTTCTGACGACAACACTGCACCCGGTACACTTAAACACATGTTCTGGGATGTCCTAAAGTAGAAGGTTTGTGGATTATTACAGTGCATGTGCTATAAATGACTGAGTGAAACATGATAATGACTCAGTGTCACATGATAATGGCGGGTTTTACAGCCTGTCTTACAACTTAAGTGGTTTCACACCTTTGGATCACCGTGCAACTTTCGCTCACAAAGTTCTGCATATCTAGCTTACAGTATGTAGTTAACATGGAGTCTCACAGCCAGGCTTAAGAAAGTAAGGCAGTCAACTATTGGTAAATGGAAAAAATGAATATTATTCCATTCAAGAGCTCCAAGGTTACTTAAAGAGAAAACAGATTTTTACTGGTAGTTTTCTACCCTGTCGAGTTTGTGTAATACAAATGTATAATTCAAAAAGATGAATCTGATTTTAAAGTGCCATATTTTTACAACCGTGAGGCGCCTAGGAACCAATCACAATCCAATTGAAAGAGGGAGTCATAGACTGTCAGTGGAAGATGGCTCCCTTCAGTCTGAGAGGAGATGAGACCCCTGAGCAGAAAGCGTTCTGCGTTCTCCACTACAATAAGAGTGAACCCGTCATAACTGTGCAGCGTGATTTCTGTCTGCAGTGAACCTCCAACAGCTCAGAGCGTTCGTCGTTGGTTCCACAACACTGGATGATCTCCGAAATCGCACTGAAAGAGCCGTGAGTGCAGCGACACCCGACATGCTCAATCCAGTATGGGATGAATTTGACTATGGCGTTGATGTTGTCTGTACAGCTGGAGGAGGTTCATACTGAGACCTTGTAAAATTACATAAACTTTATGCTCATTTAAACCATTTACAGTTCACTGCATTGATCTGTAATGATTTACAAGAGAAATGATTCATTTTGAAATCAGATAAATCTTTTTGAATCACCTGTATTTACCTTGATGCGGTTTCTTTTTAATGCCTTTGACCTGAGTGTCACTGGAACATTGCTTAATATCGCCCTGCCTAAACAAGTTCAACATTAGCGATGAAAGTTGCAGGGTGATCCAAAGTTGTAAAACAACTTAAGTCATAAGACAGGCTGTGAGATCTGCCACTATCATGTGATACTGAGTCACAGAAGTCATTTGAATAGTAAATCAACTGTAATAATCCACAAATCTACTTCTTTAAGGCACTGTTAGAAATAAAGGTTCTGTTCAGGTACATTTCTCGTTCATCAAGGTACAAACAGTGTAAATGTTCCTTCAAAGGTACAACAGTGGTTTTAAGGTCCAACTGTGCACCTTAAAAAAGTGTTTCCAGGTGAAAACTTTGTATTTGTACCTTTTCATAACTGAATGTTTTCAAACAGAACAGTAAAATAAAAGCCTGGAGACGAGGCGGGGTGTGTGGAGTCAGTACAGCTTAGACAATATCATTTCAGTGGATTATGGTTCAGTTATGTTCCCTGACTAAAGGTACTGAGATGTACCCTTGAGGGTTCCACCCCAGTGACAAGAGGGGAACTGCCCCAGGGACAGTTTAGTACCCTTATTTCTGAGAGTGTAGTTGGAAATACGTCTCAATTGGTACCTTCTGTAAGGAGTTCTGCTCTGTGGATCGTTTAATAGTAGATAAGCTGATTTTGGGGTTTGATTAGACCAAATCTAAAGTCCAACTGAGGAAAACTTTCACTCCAATAGTTGTTCAACTATACATCGTCACTGTCCAAAGAAAAGCTGCCCACACATAGCAGGTAGACTGTCCCTTGTGACTAGAGGTGGACAATACGGCAAAAATGATACATCAAGATTTTCACTATCCACAATATGTCACAATGTACAGTTTTGCTGACATCTTATACAACAGAGCAGTGCCGCATTTAATAAATACCTTCAAAAACTATGGACATAAAGATTAACGATTAACATTTCACACACTGCTCTGTACTAAATCCAGCTCTAATCATGCTCTCATTGCAAATGGAACATGCAGCTGCTCAGTGTTTTTTTAAGTAGTGTTGATACCCATGATGTGGTCAGAAAAGCATATTGTGACATATTGTGACATGATGTATCATAACACGTTAAATATTGTCATTTTGACCAGTTGAATGATTGAACGACAGTCCATCATGTTAACATGGGGGGGCTTTTGGCCTTTTGTCTGATTAGTTCCTCACACAGACTTTTCTCCTTCACAGGTTTATATGACACCAAGAAACAACTGTGCTGTCAAACTCAGTTCATCTGGCCCAAGGACACAGACAATCACGTGTGCTGTGGCAACGCAACACTGAACTTACTCAAGCAGTGCTGCTGTGCTGCTGATACTCTTAAAGTGGAGAACCTTGACAGCACATGCTGTAAAGAGAAGTTGAAAAGAGGTTTGTATAAAGATCTATGTGGATGATTTCTCACTGTTAGGACTGCTTGGGCTGTAGATCTAGTTGGCGTTGTCAGTTGAGTAGATCACTTCTCAAATATCGTCAAAAGACTACCCACAGGCTCTTGAGTGGCACAGCTGTCTCTCAGGAGATCGTGAGTTCGATCCCTGGTGATGCTACAGCCGTCCGTAGCCGGGAGTCCAAGAGAGCACATTTGGCCTCGATCTCTCTGGGTGGGTAAGATGGCCCCCCGTCTCCCCCCATCACTCAGTGCGACGCTAGTCAGCGCAGGCGTCTGTTAGCTGACGTATCAGAAGTGGTGGTCGGTGCTTTCCAACGACGTTGCGTGAGAGGCTGTTCGAAAAGATGCGGTGGCGCTTCACAGGCCTCGGAGGAAGCCTGTGCTAGCCTTCGCCCTCCTAGCGCTGGTGGTATTGTGTGATTTAGGGAGTCCTAACTAGCGGGTGGAACTGGAGACGACTAAATTAGGGAAAAATCCACAGAAAAAGACGTGATATTTATGAGCTCCAAAATACAACCGTAAAACCCAATAATGGAGCTCAAGCTGAGGCTCATGTGCAACGCTTCATGCTTTGGGTATTATCAACATTATTTATTGTGTTGTTGTTGATCAGAAATTTAATGATGTGGTCGGATAATAATGCAGCAATGTAGTGAGTAATAGAAAGCTAGAACCACATGGTTCCTTGACATTAAAAGGTCTAACAGGACACCCTCCTCAGCCTGAAGTATGTTTTACGAGGCTTTCTCAGTACGGAAGGCCCAGTTTTTAAGTTCGTTTTTTTCCTTGATTAAGTTTTTAATGTAATTCATTGTAAATGACGTCTTCCTGTATTCTGTTTCTTCTCTTGCCTGCAGACAGTGCAGGTCATTCAAATGCAAACCAGCCAGCAAACTCTATTCACCCGTAAGTCACTCTCTCTCTAACCACACTAGTGTTGCGGAGCCAGACGTGGTAAAGTGATGTGGGAAGAATCAATAGCTATGCTGGAGAAAAAACAAGCTGACAAGCTCTTGGATTTGTATTTGAGCTAAGCAATGTGCCGTCACGCTAAAATCCGTTATCATCCCTAATCCACAGCAAAGAGCAGTAACATTAAACATACATAAATACATGCACCACTGAGCAGTGGTATAAACTTTGTCCACAGTTGTTCCAACAAGTTGCTGACAGAATAAGCCTGTCTGAAATCGCCTGGAGCTACTTTCTTTTCCATTTCTGTGCTGTGACCTGTGTATGCAGCTGGAACCCCCTTATGTATTTAAAAAATCTGGATTATTACCTCTGTAAATCCAACACTGGCAATTTTTGTGTTTTAAACATCAAGTTGTAAACAGCTGGCCAGGCATGTTAAACTAAACTGTTACCACGTCTTATTGGCAAACAAGCCAAATTTTCTCCAAATCCTTTCTCTTCAATGTTAATGTGCTCAGACAAAGTGTTCAACGTGGTTGTATTAAATGCACTGAAGACACGTCTGACAAAACTAAATTGAAGGGTGTTTCTAAAACTTCCTGAAGACAAAACAAGAGCTAACAGTGCCATTTTGCTAGCTAGCATGTTTTGCTTGTGTTATTAATTGTACCCCAGACATAAAAAGAGCATGCACTTGAGGAATTTCGGGTTTTGGGGGTGGGCTTTGGCAGTGGGCCTGCTTTTGTTTGTGATGGATTTACCAGGTTGTCCCAAGACGGGTGTTCACGGTACAAGGTCATGTCTGGCTCCGCGAGACTATAACTAGCCTAACCTCCATTTGTACATTGACTTTTTGTGCCAGGTTCCCAAGAAGACCTTGTATCTCCATTTTTGACGTTTTTCAGTTTTTGACACAATTTGAAAATACCTGTTGCCTTTTACATTTTCTGTAAATTTCATTATGAACGGACTAAAAGAAATGACCCAAAATTACTTGGAAAAACATCTGGTTCCATTGACTTACATTAAAAGTAAAGTAGGTTTTTTCCTTCTTCTATAAAGTTACCATTTTGGAGATACAAGGTTTTCTTCCGTCAACAGCATTTTATATATATATATATATATATATATATATATATATATATATTTATACACACACACACAAACACTCACAGTACTGTGTTAACTAAACTGAAAGTTTTCAGCACCTGAGAAAACTACATTAAAAGTGGTATTTATCTGGGCAGTAAGCTACAATTAGCATTTATTTGCTTAAAAAAAACAATAATATTACAATAAATACAAATAACTCAGTATTCAGTATTAGTTCAGCATTAGTAGTTCAGTATTATCTGTAGTAGTGTTGCAGTCAAGTGGCCAGTCCGAGTCAACATTGAGACTTGGACACATCGAATCCGAGTCAAGACCAAAGTGTTTCTAGTATGAGATATTAACAGGTTTTTTGAAAATTAGAAAGTCTAGTTACTTTTTTACTGTATACATAAAATGGTTTAATTTATGGTTAGTTACCCCCCTTTTGTTCGCAACTGTTCTAATGCCAGAACACGTTATTGTTCAGAAAAGTGGTTTTAAACAATGCGTTTAGGTGCACAATACTTTTCTACATGACTTGAGCGCAGAATGGATATTAGAAAAGACAAAGAAAGAAACAGAAGACAAAGTCTCCTTTACACTAAAGACATTTCTGCCTGCAAGCCGATTGTAGGAAGATACAATGCGCTGCTAAAAGTATGTCTTTGTTGGTGTGTTGATAAGTAAAATTGTTCTCACAGACCTCAGTGAGTCACCTTGCTTATGGCAGTGGGTTACATTTAAAGGTGTGAGAACAAAACCAAATACCCTCAGGCCGCCATGTCTGGGACTGCATTTCTGGCATTGCTGGACAACAGGAACGTAAACATGGAAGATGACTAAAATGTCCTTACTTGGTCAACTTTGTTTACTTAAGAAAATCGCTATAATAAGCTGTGGCCACTGTTATGAAAGAAGTGACATTTAACGTGAAACTGCCATTTGCCCATCTCCAGTGGAACATGCTACTGATTCATATCAGATGTTCTTCAAATAATTAATGCAATTTTTAATGCTTAAGTCATAAGTGAAAAAAAAATCACATTAAGAAATGATGTAAAGCTGCTGTCTTGCTGGCTTTGAGTGGCATATATGCCTGGAGCAAGTGGAACTTACCACTGGCATCTGATTTTTTGTACTTTTTAAAGTACTTTGTCACGTCATTTAAATAATGAATGTGATACCTGTTTCAATCTCGTATAAAGTGCAATATTTTGCAAACTCTGAAGTTCCCAGATAGCGAGCATATATCAGTCCACTGGCTTGATAAATTCGGCACCCCGCTGACTGTTTGCCACTGCAGGTCCACCCTCGGACCACCCAGATTACTGTCCTGCATGCAAGCTCTACCTACTTTAATCTTCTCAAACAGATTTTAAATGCACAGAGACTTTTAATTTGAAAAATAAGACAAATATTACAAAACAACCGGGAGAAAAAATAATATAAATCCCTATTTTTTTATAATGATTTTATAGAAGATGTTGTTGCTGACACTGTGCTAGATTAAAATTATTCACTAAACTAATTTACAAAGTATCACTAAAGAAAGGAAGGAAGGAAAAATAAGAAAATTAGACTGTGAGCAGACAATAAGCAACAATAAGTAGAATTTTGTCAAATACTCCACTTTACCGTGGGTGGTCCGCCCATAAAATGCTGAGCAAAACACCAGTGGACTGCCAGCTTTGTCATCAGTGGGCCACAGTGACTGCAGTATGTGGTATAAATCAGGCAAGACCATGAATACAGACAAACTGGCTGGTTGTCAGGCTGTAAATACACTTTTTTTCCTGCTTTTAAGCCCTGTTTTATTACTATAATTTGTCTGGCTTTGTCCTGTGGCTACAGTAAAGAATAAGTCCAATAAAGACAAAAACTAAAAGCTCTTTAGAATAAAATACAGAGCCATCTTCAGAAAACAGAAAGGAAATTAATAAAGAAAGAACTAAATCCAATCACCTATGGGGAGGTAACTCACCATAACACTAACCATTTTATTTTTCTAGAGCAGTTTATGTTAGATAACATCTGAAGTAACTCACCATAACCCAACCTTAACTCTTTTATTTATCCAATGTTAATGTGAGTAACATCACTTATGTAGTTTGCTAGCTAGCTGGCGAACATGCGCCCAACCAGGGGCTTCTTTTGCTGAAGCTGAAGCTTTGAGTAAATAAAGACGTTAAATGAACTTCACTAGTACTTCAGCTGGCGAGCTAACTTATGTAGCTTGCTAGCTGGCTGGCTAACAGGCACTCAGCCAAGAGCTTCTGAAGTAAATAAAAAGGTTAAATGAATGGTTTGGTGAAAAATCCCCAAACGTACTTGATCAGCCAGGACATGTTTGGTGTCTGAAGTTTGTTTCTTTACAAAATCTCAAGGTAAAACATTGGAAAGACAAAAACACTCTAAAAGACAAATAACAGCACAATTAGCTACCGACCACAGGCAAAAACGAGCCATAATATTCTAGGCTTATGCTAAACAAATACGTTCCTAGGAGCTATATAAGAAAATCATCTTTCACCAGCACAGCCAAGCTGTGACCATAGGATTCAAGAGGAGCTATAAGATCACTAAGATATGGTCATTCACAGCTTTTAATATCATAGCAACAACTTTGTAGCGACATTAGCCTCAAAGCTGCAGTGCGAAACTAAAGAAGCAAGAGGAAAACTGTGTGAATTTGATTCATCTTCATTCATCTTGGTTTAACTGATAGGTGATGACATTACATTGAAAATCATGTTTATAAGTAATCTAATGAAGCCTGCACTGGCTACCACATGTGGTCATGGCAGTGACAGTGATCACCACCATGACTAATGTTACCATCATGATGATGTGTAGATCGTTGCAGCCCTAGAAAGAAATAAAGATAGAAAGAGAGAGAAATAATACAGTCTTTGTTTTCAGATGCCTCGTCAGATGTTCTTCAAATAATTAATGCAATTTTAATGCTTAAGTCATAAGTGAAAAAAAAATCACATTAAGAAATGATGTAAAGCTGCTGTCTTGCTGGCTTTGAGTGGCATATATGCCTGGAGCAAGTGGAACTTACCACTGGCATCTGATTTTTTGTACTTTTTAAAGTACTTTGTCACGTCATTTAAATAATGAATGTGATACCTGTTTCAATCTCGTATAAAGTGCAATATTTTGCAAACTCTGAAGTTCCCAGATAGTGAACATATATCAGTCCACTGGCTTGATAAATTCGCCACCCCGCTGACTGTTTGCCACTGCAGGTCCACCCTCGGACCACCCAGATTACTGTCCTGCATGCAAGCTCTACCTACTTTAATCTTCTCAAACAGATTTTAAATGCACAGAGACTTTTAATTTGAAAAATAAGACAAATATTACAAAACAACCGGGAGAAAAAATAATATAAATCCCTATTTTTTTATAATGATTTTATAGAAGATGTTGTTGCTGACACTGTGCTAGATTAAAATTATTCACTAAACTAATTTACAAAGTATCACTAAAGAAAGGAAGGAAGGAAAAATAAGAAAATTAGACTGTGAGCAGACAATAAGCAACAATAAGTAGAATTTTGTCAAATACTCCACTTTACCGTGGGTGGTCCGCCCATAAAATGCTGAGCAAAACACCAGTGGACTGCCAGCTTTGTCATCAGTGGGCCACAGTGACTGCAGTATGTGGTATAAATCAGGCAAGACCATGAATACAGACAAACTGGCTGGTTGTCAGGCTGTAAATACACTTTTTTTCCTGCTTTTAAGCCCTGTTTTATTACTATAATTTGTCTGGCTTTGTCCTGTGGCTGCAGTAAAGAATAAGTCCAATAAAGACAAAAACTAAAAGCTGTTTAGAATAAAATACAGAGCCATCTTCAGAAAACAGAAAGGAAATTAATAAAGAAAGAACTAAATCCAATCACCTATGGGGAGGTAACTCACCATAACACTAACCATTTTATTTTTCTAGAGCAGTTTATGTTAGATAACATCTGAAGTAACTCACCATAACCCAACCTTAACTCTTTTATTTATCCAATGTTAATGTGAGTAACATCACTTATGTAGTTTGCTAGCTAGCTGGCGAACATGCGCCCAACCAGGGGCTTCTTTTGCTGAAGCTGAAGCTTTGAGTAAATAAAGACGTTAAATGAACTTCACTAGTACTTCAGCTGGCGAGCTAACTTATGTAGCTTGCTAGCTGGCTGGCTAACAGGCACTCAGCCAAGAGCTTCTGAAGTAAATAAAAAGGTTAAATGAATGGTTTGGTGAAAAATCCCCAAACGTACTTGATCAGCCAGGACATGTTTGGTGTCTGAAGTTTGTTTCTTTACAAAATCTCAAGGTAAAACATTGGAAAGACAAAAACACTCTAAAAGACAAATAACAGCACAATTAGCTACCGACCACAGGCAAAAACGAGCCATAATATTCTAGGCTTATGCTAAACAAATACGTTCCTAGGAGCTATATAAGAAAATCATCTTTCACCAGCACAGCCAAGCTGTGACCATAGGATTCAAGAGGAGCTATAAGATCACTAGATATGGTCATTCACAGCTTTTAATATCATAGCAACAACTTTGTAGCGACATTAGCCTCAAAGCTGCAGTGCGAAACTAAAGAAGCAAGAGGAAAACTGTGTGAATTTGATTCATCTTCATTCATCTTGGTTTAACTGATAGGTGATGACATTACATTGAAAATCATGTTTATAAGTAATCTAATGAAGCCTGCACTGGCTACCACATGTGGTCATGGCAGTGACAGTGATCACCACCATGACTAATGTTACCATCATGATGATGTGTAGATCGTTGCAGCCCTAGAAAGAAATAAAGATAGAAAGAGAGAGAAATAATACAGTCCTTGTTTTCAGACGCCTTTAATGTGAACTGCTACTGCTCGATAGTTAGAAACTAGAGGGAGCAGCATGCGCTGCTAACAGTCTGTCTTTGTTAGTGGGTTTGTAAATGCACACAAGACACCGCGAGTCATCTTGCAGTGGGTTACATAACAGAACGAACAGGTCTGAGAACAGAGACATCTACCCTCAGGCCCAACATTATCAATCTGCACTTTTCACTGTATCATTGTGTTCAACCCTACCGGTTCCTTGTCTGTGCTGTAATGAGCTTCTCATAGAAGAGTTTGTCCGGGCAGATACTGTAAACCAGTGAACGAGTCTGTCTCAATCATCGTCATTTTTCCATTGCTTATTGACTAATACGCACCATGCAAAGGGTCCATAAGACTGGGATTGAGAACCACTGTGGTCAGGAGCATGAGGGTTTATAACTGATGAAGCAGTATTTACTCACAAATGCTTAAACATAAATTATGATGAAGATGTTTATGCATATATATGTGTGTGTGTGCGTGTGTGTGTGTGGCAGGCTCAAGGACCACGGACAAATGGTCTCTCAAGGTAATACACCTCATCAGGAATAGTGATTCAGTGACTCTTCCTTCCTCTCTCACTTTGTATTTATGCTGGTCAATTGAACATGTTAGGACTTCTTGTCATCTCTTGAAGTCCTAACCTATAGGAGAGCTCGCTTAGCAATATCTGCCTAGACACCACAAAGAAAAACAATTCCTGATTTGGACATTTCAAGAATTTAACCCTCTTATTTCCATCCAAAACTTTACAATGGAACAAAAGTAGTACTGTAATCCTAGTTTAAATACAAGCATGATTCTATTGAATAAACATGAAGTAAAAAAATACAGACATTATTTAGTTCCTAGACACCAAAAATCATTCTGTGGAGGCCTGGAAAGCTCTGAGTGTTCCAAACTTGTGAACTTGGTTCAGCACCATGTGTTTTAATTGTTTGAACGTTGCATTATAGACTGTCACTCTTTTTAAAGAGATGTTATTGGTACTTTATTGGTGGGAATTCCAACACTGCTGTGATACGTGCATCCAGGACAGGTTGGGGTTACTGCACAGGCTGCAGGTACCACACCAGAGTGGGGCGCCTGTGAGCTAAGAAACTCGTGAAACCCAAAACCGACCCACCAGTCGTATTCCCAGGGTGAGACTGAGCAGAAGAAAGTTAACAACTTACTGCTCTAAAGGCCTCTTAGATGTGCAGAGTGTGATAACTTTCAATGCAGCATTCAAAAACAACAGCCACAATTATTTATGTGGTCCATATCCTGCATGCTTTCTAATGCTTTTGGAGTCACCTCAGCCATGCAAGATTACTCGGCTGTCTAACATCTACACGGTGTAAATGATAGAACACTTCAGACACAACAGAATTTGAAAATATTCAGTGTGTTGGCCCATGAATCATGCTCTCACTCCCTCCCTCTCCCTGTCTTTTTCAAGAAGTGTCTAGTAAAGTGTCTAGTAAAGGAAAGATAATTTGATGTCTTTAGTGTAATGTAGTTATTTGTGTTTAAGCATACTGTGTGGAAAATTCTTTGAAATGTTTTTAATTCAATCATGAGCATATTTTGTCCCCTCCCTTTTGCTTCCTCTCTCTCGCTCGCTCGCTCTGTATATACTTTACTGCAGACTCAGCTCGCTCTGAGACACTCTGTGGATCTCTACCATACAATCCAATTGAAGATGTCTGTTGTTCAGGGCAGCAGAAAACAAAAAAATCCGGTGTCACTCAAGTAAGTCATTATTTTTTTTTTTTGGGTTTTGATTGACTGCAGAGTAAAAATAGGCATTTTGAAATAGGGCTGTGATGATTAATGGATTAAACTTGATTGTTTGAGTAAAATTTGATTACAAAAAGATTAAAAAAGCCTTTTTTCAATCCTTTTTTCAAACCATTGAAAGTCTTTGAGTGGGTTGTAACTGATAAAGTCTGTTTCTATTGTTTTGTTTTCTATGTTTTTGTTTCCTGAGCTGCACAGCAAATCACAAAAACAGTAACTAGATTAAATGCTGATTGCTGCAGTTCAACAATATGGGAAAATTGGCCCTCCTCTTTCTGGTCATTGGTTTACTAAGGGAGTGGCTCTCAAACTGGTTCTCGGGGCCACTCAGACCTGTGTGTTGCGAGTCGGCACCTAGAAAAACCATCTAGTCAAGTCTGAAAACCAGTTTGAGAAGCACTGTGCTGAGATGTGTCTATTTTGCAGTGTTGTGGTGAGGAAACATACGAACTGTCAGAAGAGGGAGTGCTGTGTTGCGATGGACAGCTCTACCGTGGCCAGCCGGCCGGCTCTGTATGCGCTGGGAATGTACCGTACTCTCCGCACAACTGCACCGTCTGCCAGAAACATGTGCACCTACCGGCAGGCCAGCAGTGCTGTGGACAGAAAACCTTTGACCCCCATGAGGAGATCTGCTGCAATGGACACAGGTACAGGAACTCAACTTTAAAACCAAATATAGGGGATATTTAATATATATGAGACAGTGGACTTGGCGTGTTAAGGAGGCTACATTTTTGCATCTTTGTTCTAATGATAGCGATTGTCTGCAGATTAGACAGAGGGGCAGAGCAGTTTGCAATAATATAAACACAACTGTGCAAAAGTCAGAAACCGCCTTTCTTGTGTTCAATTTCCAGTCAAAACGGCTATTAACAATTATTCACGACCAGTACAGTTTCCTTGTTTTTCAGCATTATATTTGACAGAAAATCTCACAGAAACCTCAACAACTAAATATAAAATTAATTAATATAAAATATTAAAAAATTAAACATTTTTCAGTATATAGTGTGCTTGCCCTTATTACAGCTTCCATTCCTTTCAGAAAACATGCTTCCAGTTTTCTAAATATCCCTGCAGCGATATTTTTCCATACCTGCAAAGTTCAGTCGAAGAAGTTGGTTGCACTTCCTGCTCCTGAATACAGATAAGCCCAGATAGCAAACAGTTATCAGTCTGCTGGCTTGATAATCTCAGCACCCTCTGGCTTTATGCCACTGCTGGTCAACCCCCGGACTGCCCAGGTTGTTATATAATGTCTGACTACCCAGATAGTGAGTATATATCGGTTCACTGGCTTGATAAGGTCGGCACACCGCTGACTTTTTGCCACTGCTGGTCCACTTTCGGACCATCCAGGTTACTGTCCTGCAAACAAACTAACTAGTTTTCAATCTCCTCTAACAGATTTTACATGCACAGAGACTTTTATTTTAGAAAATAAGCTTTTCAAATAACACAAACAACCGAGAGAAAAGAAAAGACTGGGTCTAGTATGAAAATATTTTATTGAAAATGTTGCTGACACTGCTAGATTAAAATTATTTACTAAAGTAATTTACAAAGGATAACCAAAGAAATTTGACAGTGAGTGGAAAATGAGTGATGATAAGTGGAATTTCGTCTAATACTCTGTTTAACCACCGGTGTGCCGCCTGGAAAATGCTGAGCAAAACACCAGTGGACCACCAGCTTTGCCATCAGCGGGAGATGGTGGTCCACTATCCTCTTGCTATTAGGGTAGTTTTTAATCTGCAAAAAAAAAAAAAAAATGCACATAGACTTTTATTTTGGAAAATAAACTAAGAATGTTTTTGTTGAAAATGTTTTGCTGATACTGTTGTGAATTAAAATGACTTGCTAAACTAATTTACAAAGGATAACGAAAGAAAGGACGGAAGGAAGGAAGGAAGGAAGGAAAATCAGTAAACTGGACAGTGAGTGGAAAATGTGCGAATGAAAAGTGACATTTTGTCTAACACTCTGCTTGAACCCCAGTGGGGTGCCAGCTTTGATGTCAGTGGGCTAGCGATGGTCTGGACATTTGGTAGGCGGGTCCATTGTTGCGAGACTGTGTGAGTAAGGAGAGGAGCGGATACAGCTGGGGTCTGGCCCAACAAGTACCCTCTGTGAGAATTTGACCCCAGGGCAAATTTGTTTAAAGGTCTCTGTGTTAGGAAATGCGCCCGTCAGTATGTTTAGCTTTTTGTGATCTGCCTTTTGTCTGTCTTTCATTGGCCGGGCCGCTCCTGTAGGCGCCCTTTATCATCTATCAGTCTTGAGATTCTCCTGCCGATGTGTTTGAACGTGTGTATAAGAGTGAAGCATTGTGTGAAAAACAGTAAACAGCATACTTTTATGTCTGTGTGCTTAAACAACAAAGTCTGTTTTGTTGTGTTATATGACAGTTATCATTCTATGGAGCGCCGGGTGCCAAGTAGCAACTCAGTTTACTACGCAGATAACTTATTTTTGTTTGTACTATAGCACACAGAAAAAAGATACATTAAGATAATATATAGCCTGCAGATACATCGAACTCTGAACCTGGTGTTTACCCTAAACTAGCTTTTCATCTGGCAGCTGTGACAAAACAACTAAACAGAATTGGAATTAGCCTCAAATGCTTCATAGCCTGGCTGGAACAAAACAACAGCTTAATCTGGCAATGAATTACTGAAAAAGCTCAGCTAAACTTGATATTGCGACAGTTTTATAGCTCTATTCATAATGAAAGACAGAATTGCAAACATTAAACTACATGTGATCGAATTTTTGGAGCTTCTTTGCTTTTTTATTTTGCAGAACTGCAGTATAAAAGCAATCGAATGCAAATAACATCATGGCTGTAATGATCAGTCCAAAAACGCATGTTCTATTACTTAAGTAGGACAAAGTTCAGACAGACCCTCGCATTCCTAATTTCTGATGACTCCCAACTGCATAAAGGTGTTGTTGAAGGAACTGTGTTGTTTTCCAGTTTGAGATCCAGCTGCTTGAGAAAGTTCTCTAATGTTTGGAATGTCTGCTGGCACTGATCTGCTGTCTGGAGCACACACAGCAGAGCAAGCCAGACAGCCTGTTAGGACAGAAACGGGTGGCTTCAGAGAATGTCTGAGTCTGGGCTGCGATGGCTTTCAGTCAGTAAACACAAATCTTTCTTTTGTGAGTCTGCTGTGTGTGAGCATGTGCTCTTGTACGTGACTGTCACAAAAGTGCTCCAGACATTACTCACTCATCCCATTAGTGCATATCTTACCCTTCCTACTGATGTGGCTGGAAGACTTCCAGCGTTCCTTCCCATCCTGGATAACCAAATATGAGACAGTTTATACAAAAAAAACAGCATTGCACCTTTTTGTTTTTGTTATGTGGACCATTCCACTAGATAAGTTCAAACTGCAGCCCCACAGTGAAATAATTATTTAAAAAAAAACAATCAAGCATTCTGATTATGATGTTTACAGGGAATATATCATGATCTATTCAAACCCAACTGAGACAGTAAGAGGCTAAATATATACAAAATCATAATTTATAACGTACTTTCTATTGTGAGGTGTCTCTAAATTACAACTTGTTAAAATAACACGTTTTCAATGGTTTTTAAGAACGTTCCGATTTCTTTTAAAGTTGAAAGATTTATAATTATTTTAACTTATTTTTACTTAAAAAAAAGCTGTTCCACATTTTCATATCACTACCAGAAACTTAGTCCATAGGCTTAACCTTATTTTAGCCACACCCCTGCATGCAATTCATTTTTTGTGTTTTAGTGAAAAATATTATGATTGTATATATGTACAACTGTTCGAAGCTGTGTTTGCTAGTCATGTTCTGGTTAGCATTTTTGGGCTCTGCTCGAAATGAGCTAAAAGCATCACTACTGAAACATTTGGTAAAGTTTTGGTAGTGTTATAATTGTTTTGTTTGTGACAAAATACAATGTTCAACCATTCATTTTAATAAAATCAACATAATTAGGGTTTAGGGTCACTCAAAGCAAAATGATTTTAGTCTAAAGTCCAAGTCAGTTAACAGTCTGAAGTGTGTTTTGAACCCTGACTTTGAACCAATTCTGTAGAATGTTTGTAGAAAGTGTGTTCAGGTTAGCATTTGTCTGTTTATCTTGAGCCAGACTTCAAAGTAGAGGTCTGTGCAGGGTTGATTTTTCAGTCCTGTTTCCACCCGCTCCCGCAAGATTTTAAACCACTCCCGCAAAATATTGGAATCATTTTTCCTGCTCCCGCCCGCTCCCGCCTTCTCCTGCAAGAATTCATCCCACTCCCACAGAATATTGGAATGCTTTTTCCAGCTCCCACCCGCTCCCGCCTTCTCCCGCAAGATTTCATCCCACTCCCACATAATATTGGAACCCTTTTTTCTGCTCCCGCCCGCTCCCGCCTTCTCCCGCAAGATTACATCCTACTGCCACAGAAAATTGGAATAATTTGTCCCGCTCCCACCCACAACTGATACGTTTTGTCCCGCACCCGCCCGCAACCAATATGTTCACACCCGGGCGGTTCTGTCAATTCTCTGCTGAAATAACACAGTAGTCATGGTCACTTGGCTTACTCTGAAGTAACTTTCCCTTACTCTGTTTATTCCCAGTAAACACAGAGCAAGAATTAAGAGGATGTTTTTGGATTTTTGGTATTTTGCTGGGCTCGGCAGCTGTGGCCATCAGATAAAAAGCTCTGCCATCTCTTTAAGCACGAAGAATTTGCATGTTGTTCACGTGATCAGTTGCTTCGCAACTCTTTAGAATGACCACATTCATTTCAATTGCTTTACTAATTATCAGTGTATATATATATTCTGGAATCTGTTCTGGAATTTGCTAACTGGTAGCGTGTGTCTGTCCTGGCAAACGCAACACCAAGACCCAGCCAGATTTTGGGAATGGGGGGGATCCCCAAAGTCTGGCTGGGAGTTGGTATTGCGTTTGTGACACACGCTGCCAGTTGGACTGTACTTTCCACTGTTTTTGAGATAATGCCTTACGGATTTGAATAGCACATTTGACCGCAAGGCCCCTCCCTACAGTTTTGAAATATATCTCCAGTCAAGAGCTTTTGAGGAATTGAAACATTGTTAAAGGCAATTGAAAGTGATAATTTATTGTTTTTTCAGTGATAGAGGCACAGCCTCAACCTCGTCAGCTGATAAGCTTTTTATAATTCTTTGATATTACATTTAACAATCTATTTACTGGTTTTGCCCAACGTTGTGTTTTGAATGTTTGCAGCAGACTGCCAAGAGCATTTGTCACACATAATCAACACAGCTTATAATTGAGCCTTGAACCATTAATGTGAGTGTGATATCCTAAGGCTAACCTGCCGACTGTTTTCGAGCTCAGCCTCAACTCTCTCAAGGAGATTGTATAAACATATTACCAGGTCACGTCAAATCCAGTTATGCTATGGGTTCCGTCAGCGGCGTAAGAACATACTCTAAATATAGACTAATTACTGTAAACCAGATGTGTTTAGGGTCCGTGCCAGTTGGCATAATGCCAGCTGGCCATTTGGCAGTTGGCACACTGGTGAATGCTTTGTAGTGGAGTGCAAGTGGTTGTGCAGTGGGTATATTCACAGTGCTTTATTTTGTTTAAGGCTTGTTCAACTACCCAGGCTGTATCGGTAACATTACTGCGGGGAAGATGGATAAAAATACATACATAGTTCTTTATGACATGATTTACCCTGATGAATTAGTTTATGGACGTAATAAGACCACTTGCTGTGTAAAACAACATTATTTGGTCACCATGCCAAATTTGACCTAGTTTTGCCTTTAGGGGGCACTACATGACAAAAGAATCTTAGAATCATCAAAATTTCAATTGACCATTTTGGCTGTATTCTACAGTGTGTAGTGATTTAAGTTTTTAGGCTGAAGTGCTTTAGAATTACAACTCATGTCTGAATTTAAACTGTTTGTCACTTATTCTGACTCATTTGTTTAAACTGTACAGCTCACTATAACAAGGTCAAAAGGTCAATTTGACCAAAACATTAGAGGTATCATCTTTGAATGTTTCTTGGCAAGAATCATGCTAAATGGAGGCCTTCTTCTCATTTATCAAAGCCTTATACTGGTATATTAGTTTAAGATTAAGTGACCCTTATTAGTCCCACAACAGGGAAATTTCACCTCCGCATTTAATCCATCCGTGCAGTGAAACACCACATACACACTAGTGAACACACACACTAGGGGGCAGTGAGCACACTTGCCCTATCCGCAGTGCCCGGGGAGCAGTTGGGGGTTGAGTGCCTTGACTTCAGTCACCTGGTTCTCTAACCTCCAGCTCATGACTGCCCCAAAGGACTCATATAATCAATGACCAACTTTTTAACAGGAACATATTGTGCTAATTATTTTTAGACATCACTCAAACCCACTACCAAATCCTTTTTCTCTGTTCTCAGACATAAAAGGACAGCGGACATGGCCTGCTGTGGCTCTCATGCTTACAACGCCAGCTCTGGTGAACACATGTGCTGTTCCGGCCATCTCCATGACCTGACACATCTAAATAACAAACAAGAGGCGGAGTGCTGTGGTCCTCTACTGCTGACCAATAAGAAGGAGCAACAGTGCTGCCACTCAACAGAGAAAACTCTGGTCTATAAGACCCAGCCTGGCCATTCCTGCTGTGGCCACTGGTACTACAGTATGTCGCTGTGGAGCTGCTGTGCTGGACAACTCATTCCCAAACCAACGCAGGCAAAGATGGGAGGTATGAAGCAACTTGCCTTCTTGAGTAGACGTACACAGACACATCGGCAGCTTTCACTGCTGTTTTCTTTTTGTCTCAAACACGTCAAGAAGTCTGAACTGACCACAGAATGAGGACAGGATGTAATTGCATCATCTTGTCTGTATGTTTCTCAGTTAACCACATGACTGTTTTCAGCTGGGTATCACACTCAGTGATTTAGTCAGCTGAGCAAACTGAATCATTCGTGTGTTTCATCAACAGTCGCATTATTGTCTAATCAGACTTCCCTCTCTTCTGGCAGAGCCAAAGTGTATTCGCAAACTGTGGGACTACAGCCAGTCTGCCATCTGCAATATGCCAGGTACTGATCTTTTATGCAATGATTGTTTCAGTATTCTTGTTACATTCACCAATGAGAGCAGAAATACATGGAGGCGTTCTACCAGTGCCGTAGACTTTGAAGCCATGAAAATAAACAACAGAAAGTGGATGTGTGTGTATACTAATTATATTCTTAAATGAATGAAAAAAACAATCATAATTCTTTAATAAATAGATTAGTGCATTTCCTGAAGAAAATGCAGAGTGATTGTATAGCTGATGCTTGTTGCTAGGTGGTTGCTAAGGTGTTTCTAGGCAGTTGCTATGGCATGAGGGATGTGAACTGGGGTTGCCAAGTGGTTGCTAGTTGTTGTGAAAAATGAATTGGAGTCTACGGGAGGTAGGAGGATATATAAACATATATATATATATATATATATATATATATATATATATATATTATATGTTTGTGTGATTTTTAGTAATGTTTTGCATGAAAAATGCAATACTATACAAATGCTTTAATTTCATACGATGAACGATGAAATAAAAATATGATTTTTAGGTGAGTCAACAGTTGTGGTGCTTGTTTTTTCAGTTTAATTAAAACCGCTTAAAATTATTGTCTTTTAAGTACAGAATTATTTAATTATTTGAATATCATTTAACTTAGAAAAATATACAAAAATAATTGAATTAAGTTTATAATTAAATATAATGTAATTGATTAAAAACCATTAAAATATTGTCTTTAAAATATAGAATTATTAAATGTCTTAAATATTTGAATTCAACTTAAAATATGCAAATATAATTTAATGTTGATAGTACATTTTGTCCCAAGAAATTTTGAAATAATCATCAAAGATCAGCCTTTAGCAGTCTTGTCAGTGGTGTTACAGTCAGTGGTAAATTTGCTGGTCAGATGTTTAACTAATATGCACCCATTGTTGCCTGTGTTTCCAGTGCTGTTAGGAACAGTGCAGAGTGTAGCAGTGAAGCACAATGAGCGCTCTGTCATGGTGGGGGATGCGCTGGAGGTGAATGCCACCAATGTGACGTCCTGTGGAAACTCTCTAGAAGTCGGGCCATTGGACCACTGCCTCTTCCCTGCGCTGGAGCTAGGCGGGACCTACCTCTGGATAAAAAACACGCAGAACAAATACGAGCCTTTGGCTGATGTTACCGGCCTGACTAACCCCCTTCACGCCATCTTGAGCCTCTGTCAAAGTAGGCGTAGATACTACACTGCTTAACATTCGGCCGCGTTCAAATACCTCTTTTCCACTGTAGATCGCAGAGAGTGGCATTCTGTGGGCATGATTTGGCACAAACTTCACCCAGCACAGGTTCCCCTTAGCTAGCACTGCTCAAAAAAGCCATGGAGAAACTATTCAGGGAACGGCCTCTAAGTCTGAACAGGAATGTAAAGCAGGATGTAAATTTAGTACGTAGGACATTACGTTGTATTTTGCAACTAGGAAGCACAAGTGCCTTAACGTGAGTGCATTGCCAAGGACATGTTGTTAAGGATGTGATTGAGAAGGCTGAGATGGCTATAGTGCAACTATAACTAAGCTCACAACTCTAGCTTCTGTTAGCCAGCACCAAAAATAAAGAAAAGATATTCCTCTGTTGTCAGTGACCTCAACAAACTAACATATTGGCAGATTGACTGAGGAGAGAAAAGCTCCTGTAGAAGCCCACAAGTCATCACCATCTACCATTGCATTGATATGGTCTCCACTCCAGTGTTAGCATTAGCTCATTAGCTCAAGCCCTGACACTAAGGCCCAATCCCATTTCTTCCTTTTACCCCTACCCCTTGTTTTCGAGCATCACCCTAACCCCTTGGAAGTGAGCTACAAAGGGTAGTGGTTGAAATCTTGCCCTACGAAATGAAGCCCTCAAAAAAACATTACTTCATTAACAGCTACTAGCGCTGCTCTGTAGGCGACCCGGCCCGTCTGCAGTGACAGCAGAGGAGGGTAAAGTTCAGCTCCTCACTGCTGGGCTTTAGTTACATTTAGGGCATCATATGACTTCAAAGAGGGGGGCAATTATTTATTATCACCCACCCCTAATTCTTCAGTGATATGAAGCTGAAGTCAGATATTCACCAGCTTCTTGTTCGAATATTCCCGTTCCACCTTAAATGCAGCAGCAGTTACATTCTGGCGCTTCAGGCATCAGAACTGCTGGACTATTTAAGGTGGAACGGAAAAGTTAGCTGGCTACCAAGACAACAGCATACTATTAGCAATTTCTTATGCTTTTTATGAAGAAAAGGACCAAAATACACTGAAACGACATTAAACTAAGATAATACAATGGTTATCGTAATTCCGTTTGGAGGGTCATGTAGCCCTAACACTTCGCCCTACCCCTTTATCTCAACAAAAATTGGGACACCCTAAACGTAGACGTGAACACACAAAACAAAGGGCTAAGGGCTGAGTGGTAGGGGAAAGGGGTGAAATGGGATTGGGCCTTAGACTTGATTTAACAAACAGTGACTTTTCACTGTGCTGTTTTTGAAGTGTTGGGTAATTTACCCCAGCATTATTGGACACCTATTCATAATTTGTGATGTGATATATTCCGCAAAAAACAAAAAAGTGAAGAAGACCACACGTGTGCACATCTTAACGGCGTCAGCAAGAGTCGCTGTAAGTCAGTCTCCAGGCCTTGAAGGTTACCAAATGGTCACCTTTTATCCAGTTATATGATGATGGAAATACCCAGTTCCAAATCCAGTACCACAGGCTGTCATCATGTCTGGTAGGGTAGATTGGAGAGGGACATAAACAAGTCCTTATCTCAAGTCATAAGCCTCATAGAGACGTAGGAGCCTTTTTCTCCAGTGCAGTTAACTGAATATCTGGGCATTAAATGAGAAATTTCTGTGAAATTAAGTGGTTCAGATGTAAACAAAGTCATTCCGAGCAGTTCGATGTGAAACGCTCCATTGAAGAGAAACATACTGAGCCACAGTTGTTCACAGTGGTGGTGATAGGAACCAGACATCTGAAGCATTTTAACGCCTGTAAAAGCTACCTCAGATAACATTATTACACTAAATGCTTTTGAATGCATTGCCTAAAGCTTGAGACTTCGTTTTACGATAGTTTTGAGATAAGATTTTGGTCTAAATCTCATTTAAAACCCCAAAGCAAACAAATTTTGGGTGTTCATGTCCTCATCTTCTCACTATTTCATATCAAACCAGTATGAATGACTTTGTTTACATCTCAATGACTGAATTATGCAGAATTTCCCATGTATGAATACTTGAACAATGTAATCAGAATGTATATCCCTGATCCACAGTATGACTAAACCTACATCACTTCACACCACTTTTGTGATGCTACATCTGCCATTTCAAAACTAAGAACAGTCCAAAAATCTTCCACACAGTCAGTCAACAGAAAGAGGAGCGACTACATTATTACCTACAGCAATGTTATTACGGTCACTGACTCACTGTGATCAGTGCGGTTCTCCTCCTGATTTAGCATCTCTCGAGAATGACACAATGTAGTCATGATAACTTCTCTGCCCTACAGTGGAAAAGAGGCTGCAGTGAACAATTTGCAATTACATTACTGCTTTCTAGCTTCTGAAACCTTTACAGCTACCCATGAACATTGTGGTAGCTGTCCAGCCAAAAAAGCTGTGGCACAAAACTGCCAGACTTTTAATCATTGTCTCTGTTTTGTGTCTACTTTATCATTCTATATCAGAAAGAAATCACATTATAAAATAATACAATAAATGCTTTGTAACTTAATTTTAATGTAAATCATGTATGGTCAGGGATGCAGATCAGAATTTTGTGAGGTAAGCTACCAGAGTCTGCAGAAGTTGCACTCAGAAGTCATGAATGTCTGTGATTTAAAACAGCTTTCTTCAAGCAGAGAGCATGAATGACAGTACTGTATACATCGAGGCTGTTTACACCTTGTATCCGCATGAATAAGTTTAGACTTTCACCTGGGGCGCATTGGGATCAGTTTAGGATCGGATCACTCAAACCATATTTGGACCACATTCAACACAAGTTTGAATGGACTGCGTTTTCTATATCTGCACGCAGTTAGAACGGAAATGCGTCTGCTGAGTGCTGACGCGCAGTTGAGAGGATAAATAAGGAAGATGGAGGATATGTGAGGGTGGGGGGAAAGTGCAGACTCAGGCCATCTGCTGGTTGCATTCTAAATGTTGTGAATCTCCATTCATTCCGCTGTAGGGAGCATTAAAAGAAATCATTTTGTGACCATAAACCACAAGTACTTTATTGCAAGCAGGTGAAAAACTCATTTGCTGAACGTTTTGCTGAGTGATAATACAGGGTGACTTAAAAATTCATCCGATTTCAAAATAATTTATTATTCACTCAAATCATTACAGATCAATGCAGTAAACTGTAAATGGTTTAAATGAGCATAAAGTTTATTATGTAATTGTACAAGGTCTCAATATGAACCTCCTCCAGCTGTATGGACAACATCAACGCCATAGTCAAATTCATCCCATACTGGATTGAGCATGTCGGGTGTCGCTGCACTCACGGCTCTTTCGGTGCGATTTCGGAGATCATCCAGTGTTGTTGGGAGTGGCACATAAACAGAATCCTAAACCTAGCCCCACAAAATAAGTCCCAGACTGACAGTCAGAAACTCTATGACCCCCTCTTACACTTGGATTATGATTGGTTCCTAGGCGCCTCACGATTCTAAAAATATGCAATCGGATGAATCTTTTTGAATCACCCTGTACTGTAGAGGTTAAGCTACAATTGAACGACAAAACCCACAGCTTTGATGTGTGCGAGACTAACGCCATCCTGTGACTTTGTAGTCCTTGTTGAATCATGTTTTGAATGCAAATAGCAGGGGATTATCTGACTGCTTTTCTTCCCTATCCCAAAACCAATGTCCAATTATATATGCTAGCATTGCAACCTCAGCCCTGTGAGATTCCTGGACACTCAAGCAGTGGCTTGATTTTTTTGTCAGTTCAGTTACAACACCTAATCTTCTCAGCTATAGCAGTTTAGGCACTCAGCAGTACTGAACATGTCACTAACAGTTGTCCCTACATTGAGGGTAACCCGAAGCAGAAGTTATATAAAAACATGAAAATGCTTAGATTCCGTGACATTTTTCCTGGATAGACACCCAAAATCCAGGACCATCCAGGAATCCTCGCTCTTTGCCAGGTTAGGCACAGTGAGCTAATTGGCTAGCGATAAAAACTTGATTCAGAGAGTTTTTTTCAGATGTCTTCACGTACGTTTTCTGCTTTATTGGGCTTTATTATTTGGTTTAAAACTGTATTTTCTATTCATTGAAGTAAATGACAGTAAAACGAAATGACGTTACGGCACTTTTTATGTGGTAAAGTAAAATGACCTCATCTGGTCGCACTGAGGACGCAATTTAAGGAGAAGTGAAAAATGACATCCAGACATGAAACACATCTTAATGCAAGTTGTAAACAGCCTTAAGCCGGCAGCATTTCAGAGGGAAACCTTTTGTATCTAAACGACGTCTTTTTGACCAAACCAGCAAGTTGTCCAGCAAACTGGCTGCTGAACACCTAAACTCGGTGTCTTTGTTCAGAGACCTCCCTTTGAATGTGATTGGCCCACTGCACAAATTGGGCTTCTAGTGGTGCTGAGACATTCACCCAGTTGATTTAGGTCATACACAGTATATACAAAGGATACTGCCGGCTCTATTGTTTGTACTTCAGTGCTCTGAGCCTGGTGCATATTACAGACACTGGTGAACAAAATATGGAAACACTATTTTTTACCTTATATATTTTTATCTATCTCGTAAAATGTGTGTGATGTTGTTGCTGTATGTTTTAAGCACCTTAAATCAATGAGAAATCTTTAGATTACTCAATGCTGTGTATGAGCCATTTCCTCCAGGCTATTACATCACCATTAGGAGCATTCAAGGAAACATCCCCTTGTACTGAGATGGTGTGTGGTGCTTTTTTTTTGTTTGGTCTTGAGGCATTACCATTGTGTGTATCTTAACTGCTTTCATTTCTAATGTTGTGTGGTGAGATTTTTAAACCATGTATCAAAGCTAACCTATGCAACTCATAAAGCTGTCTGAATGAGCTTGACGATGGTTTCAGGGAACAACTTAATATATTACTGTTGATTTCATATGCTATGGTTATACATTATAGAACGTGATGGGTCCAGTGCACCAGTCAGTGGTTTTGTCTAGACTGAACTGCATGTACTCTGTGTTCTCATGTGTAAATCTCCTTTTATTTTTCTGTATACAGTTATTCATATAATGTATTCAAATAAAGTATTCAAGCAACATCAGAACGTAACGTTTGTGCCTTTATTTCAATTTAAAGCCTCCTAAAAATAATGTAGATGTTGGAACAGAACCTGACAATTTGAAAATGGCAGCTGCTGTTTACATTGTGTCAGAATTTGACAGCAAACTGAAAATCTTGTTGCATTAACATACATTAAAAATGAATAACATTTTTTAATTCTCTTGGAAGATACTTTTTTTTTCACATTTAATTGTGAAAAGCCATCACCACTGTGAACAATTCTGGCCTGTAAGTTTCTCTAGGATGGAGCATTTCACACCAAAAAACACTCTGTGACTTTGCATGTAAAGCAAAAAATTGGAAAAAATGCTGGAGTTCCCCTTTAGTAGTGGCGTCATACGCTGTCCAAGTGTTATATTTCAGCCACATTCGTGGATAACCCTAAACCCAGAGGATAGAAATATTCTACATGAGATGTCCTCTTAATCGCATGTACTTCTCCTGGACATGCAGAAAAACATCAGATCA